CACCTTTTTTATAATTTTTAAGCAGCCTGGAAAAGAAAAAAAAAAAAAAAAAACTCTTGTGCTTTTTGAGGCACAAACGTGGAGTGTGAGCTCCATCATTCCCAGACAGACAGTTATTTTCCAGCCTGTTGGCTCTGACTCATCCACCAGGCAGGTTGGAACACCTGGGGTTTTGTGGCCAAGCTGCTTTTGTCACATTTAAACTCACCCTCTTCCCCTGCCTTTGCCTCGTTTCTCTTGTCTCTCTCAGGTGTTGGCTGGTTCAGACCATCCCTGAAGGTGAGGCTTTATCCATCCATCCGTCCATCCATCCATCCAGGAAATTATGGTGCCCAGTGAAAAGTCATTTTTGGAGTTTCTTTGTTGTTTTGTTTTTAAATGGGGTGAATTAAATGTTGTAAAGGTGAACGAGGGTTTGTTTTCATGAGTTATTAGGGCTGTGAGGATGAGGAGGATCGAGGCAGAGCTCTGCCAGGGCCCTGGTCTGTGTCCCACCATCCCTGCTCCCTGTTTTGTCATAATCCATCATGTTTTTCCTTCCATCCAGAGGCCCCTGGTGGATCTGAAAACCCCACTCAGCAGGTGCTGTGCACACAGGATGAGGAGCCCAACCAAGCAGGTGAGACAGGAAGACAAGAAGCAGGATGTAAAAACCCAAACCCAACTCCCCTCCCCCCAAAAAACCCCCACAAAAATTAAATCTCAACCAACCAGCCAGGGCCAAACCTGGGATCCTGAGCCAAGGTGCTGGTTTTTGGCCCCCAGCCCAGAGAGCAGGAGCTCCAAAATGCTTCCCAACACTGACCTGCTGCTATGTTTCAGGAGGGGGGTTTGTAAACCACGGTTTATCCCTGGCTCTGAAGTGGAACCTGCTGTGCAATGGGATTCCAGGGACCATCTGCAATCTGTCACAGCCCCTGGGCCACCAGCAGCCCCAGAGGTCACCCAGTGCCAGGGCAGCTTTGAGCTGGTGCCCAGCACAGGAGCCCCGTGGTGGAACGTGGGGCTGGGGAGGAGCTGCCAGCCCTGGGGCTTGGACATCAGCTCATCCCAGAATATTTAGGCTGGAAAAGACCTCCAAGGCCATCGAGCCCACCCTGTGGCTGATTTCTCACCATGACACCCAGCCCAGAGCCCTGAGTGCCACGGCCAGTCCTGCCTTGGACCCCTGACAGCCCTTTCCATGGAGAAATTCCTCCTGCAAATCACACCAGCCTGCATCCTGCATCCCCCCCTTCCCTTTCCCTACCCCAGAAAACTGGGTTTTCTCCACCCAGTAGTTTGAGAAGACCTTTTGTGATTTGTTTTTTATTAAACTTGTGGCTTGTAGCAGGAGCTCAGAGCTCGCAGGAAGCT